AAGAGTTTTCCCCGCTGGATAGAGCGTAAGGTTATAGTCATCTAATCGGTGTATGTTGACGCTCCTCAGCTGAGCTCAGAAAGCTCCTTCCTAATTATTGGAGTTTATATACTAAATCGGGTAGCACTCCAGACTCGGAATCTGCCGATCTGGGTTCCGAATCCGAACTTCAGATCGATCCTGAGCTTCACGAATTGATAGCACAAGTAGAACTAGCTTATGGCAAACCAGCTCGGTCAATAAAAACTATCAAATAACGGTGGTAGAATAGCTAGCTAGACGTCAGCTACCATTATCTCTACTATCACATAATTGTAGCGATCACTTCACTCCGCTAGGCAGTTTCATGTTGTCTTGTTGAAACGGCTAGGCGTCGAAATCGTTCTCTTTCGCAGTTCTATGATCATATTGCTTTGTGTCACTTGCTTCTCCCATCTCTGTCGATCCCACTAGTCGTCCCTTAATTTGAAGATTTTCTAATTTTCCTCGTCGTCACGATAAACATGTAGTTTTCCATGTGCATGTCCATCTCCTTACAACTTCATTTCGTAGGAATGAGGAGATTGACAACGACTTGCAGGGAAGCGTCGAGATGATTTATGACTTAATATTTTATGGCATTTTTTTGGGGTACTTTTGATATGATGTACCGTATGTGATGACATTTTTAGGAGTTGGCCTGCGAATTTGTATTTGTTTGAATACACGTGGAGAATGGCAGGTGTGCAGTATCGAGATTTATGCAGTTTTTCGGGTCCATTGTTGATCGAGATGTCGAAGTGTGTGGGGGAGGATGTGCCTTACGTACTTGTCTACACCAAGCTGCGATTGTTAATACCTGTATAAGATGATAGAAAAAGATCACCACTATCGGAGGTATTTCGACAACCTTAATACCACACGGAATTCAACGGTCACTACATACGGGGACATTCTGAAGGCCTTAGCATAATGTGTTCGCTATGTAACTAAGCTGAGCAGGATTAAGACACGACTGTAGTAAGTTGTGCGACACCACGGTGATATTAGCGCGCGCCCGATGATTATGATATGGGTCGCTGATATGATACCGATGGTTGAGGGAATTTATAAATATATGTTGTAATTGGTTGGTAGGATTGGTACTTTTTATAAAATGATAGTCGCCAGTTCGTCGTTTCGGCGAGGTATGTGCATTGTGGTCACACGTGGAGAGGTGACACGTGGAGAGGTGAGTGTTGGGGGTAGTAGTAGTAGTAGTAGTAGTAGTAGTAGTAGTAGTAGTAGTAGTAGTAGTAGTAGTAGTAGTAGTAGTAGTAGTAGTAGTAGTAGTAGTAGTACTAATAGTAGTAGTAGTAGTAGTAGTAGTAGTAGTAGTAGTAGTAGTACTAATAGTAGTAGTAGTAGTAGTAGTAGTAGTAGTAGTAGTAGTAGTAGTAGTAGTAGTAGTAGTAGTAGTAGTAGTAGTAGTAGTAGTAGTAGTAGTAGTAGTAGTAGTACTAGTAGTAGTAGTAGTAGTAGTAGTAGTAGTAGTAGTAGTAGTAGTAGTAGTAGTAGTAGTAGTAGTAGTAGTAGTAGTAGTAATAGTAGTAGTAGTAGTAGTAGTAGTAGTAGTAGTAGTAGTAGTAGTAGTAGTAGTAGTAGTAGTAGTAGGGGTTGCTATATATATCTTGTTGGTAGTAGGTAGTAGAAGCAGCATTAGCGTACTTCAACTCGCATGCTGATATGGATAGCAGTGGCTTGCAAGCGACAGTGCAAGAGCTTGGAGGGGGTATGCGGAAGACTCAGGCTGGGGAAGTCTATGGAGACGAACGTTTTAAGAGGCTCATGGCGACTGTGGGGGCTCGGATTGGAGTAGGTTGGGAATGGTTGTTTTTACCCGATGAAAAACGTTCCGATAACGTATAATGGTATAACCGGTCAATGGAGGGGTTGGGTAGTGGACACCGACGATTATATGTGTGTGATAACTTCCGAGTAATGCTATTAATTTGTCCTTGACCTCTAAAGGGGTTCAGTGAGAGCTAGTTGTGGCAGCGTGGTAAAATTTGCACTTCCGCAAGTGTTGGTGACAATATCAAAACTCTGAGGAAATTTTATTGAATTTCCCTTAGTTTCTGTCCGCGATCGTATATATTCTCTGGTTTCGTATATGAACTCCTATAATCATTGAGGAAACTATTGAGCTCAGCAGCTGAGGAAAGCGAGAACATATTTTGCAGCACTGAGTTGTGGGACCGTGGGATCGTTGCTTACGATGCAAACTTGTCATTGGGGGCAATCTGTTGGGAATGATGAAACTTCATCGAATAAAGAGGCGCTTGCCACTCGATGAAGCTGAGATTTTTTTAGTGTTGTTTGGTCAGGACCTCGATAGTGGATCATTAGTGGAGATGGCTAGCGCGTTAAGTGCATTACCGGGGCCTTCAACACCGGAGGTTTCGGAGGTGTGTAGGAAAATAACAGAAATTATGGTAAAGAGAAGGGATGAATTTAAGTAATAAATGGTGTGTCGATGGTGGGGATCGAACCTGTGCGGGATCAGGCCTGCGGGTTTGGCGAGGATAGCATTGGCGTTGGCGTGTCGAGGCTCGAGGGATCCTACGCTTATCGAGATGGTGAAGGAGGATACGCTCTCACAAATTGAAGTGAGTCTATGTGAGATATATTCGCTTTCCTCAGCTATGTTGAGAAGTACACACGAATGAAAGTGAACAGAAAACTAAGGAGAACTTCCTCTCAGAATTTCCATATTGTCACCAACAGATGTGGTTGACCATGTGCATATTCTCTCGGGCTTTCATCGGCTATGCTCAGGAGTGTTATTGTGTACTATGGGAATTCATATGTGATTCGGGGAAAAATTTTCAGAAGCCATCAAGAAATTCTCTTGAAATTTTCAAATGTGCATAGATCAGCACTTGGTGATTACTCGAGATGAGGGCTTCGTGAGGAAGGGGTTGAGTCCGCCGACCTAACGCGGAGAATTAGGAATCTGATTTTACTGAGGATTTTTGTATTTTTTTGTGGATACCTTTTTCTCTGGGTCGCCGTAATTATTAGAAAACAATTTACCTCACGAAGTGATATCTGTGCAGTACATGCTCCGTCGCTTTGCACTGTAGTAGTCGGAAAATAATGGGGTGTCGATGATTTTTTGGTATGATTCAGTTCACTCTAATGAGGTTTGTTGCTCATTTCTGCTGATTTGAGAAATCATGTTACATTTTTGATTAAATGATGATAGTAAAAGTACCATTATAGATATTATGTATACTTATCGGTAAAGATTAGATTAATTTTTATTGGAGTTTCACCACCCTAGTGATATGAAAATCACTAGTGAAAAACATATTTCACGACTACTGCATATCACCGTGAATTTCGCGTTTTTCACCGAGTTTTACGCCACTTAACGTAAAAGGGGTGAAGCTTTATTATATTGTAACAACTGTAGTGGAAATCAAAGGGGACCCTGTACAAATTAGGAATTGTTATTTTAATATTTTACATATAAAAACGATGAGGGATGATGCCCACCTTGATAGACTTCATGAGATTTCAATAAGGATATAGTTGCGAATTCAGCTCACATGTATATATCACTAGTTTGCTAGTTTGGAATAGATTTCATTCCATCTCGCTATATATGATATTGATGCTTCTCAGGAATTCTCACCATCAGAGTTATGCTGTATATTGGAGGCACATAGGCGTTGGGGTGTACACGATCGAGAACTTACTGAGAATGTTGTCGAACGCTTGACCGACGAAATTGACCGGTACGCCGTTTTGGTTGGACTCGTGTGAATTTGGGAGATAACGTCGTTAATGGTATGAGAAAATGTTTTAAAAAAGTGGAAAGATTCCGAAATGAGTTCTGGTTCACCGCAGATTCACTGCTGAAGATTTAGTGAAGACTCTGGAAGTGTTTGCCAGTCTTGGTTTGGCTAGGTAGGAAGGTTGATGGTGAACGTGAAACTATGAGGACAATACTTGATAAATAATGTGAAAATTAATAAATGCCAGGGTGAAAAAATTCCATGGCTGTTGTAAAATGCGGAATAGAAACAAAGAATCTTCATACAATCTCTCAATTTTGAGGTTGTTTTTTCAGGGGGCTGCTTCTGAGGCGAGTCGCGGCACTGTCACATGATCAACTACCACAATTTACTCCAATTCAATTGGTGGAAATTCTCAAGAGTTTGTCTAAACTAAGGTGGGTAGGGAAAGATATGTAGTAGTATGATCACTTTAGGTTTTTGTCAACTGTGCAAATTGATGGGATAATGGGGGCGTTGGGAGATCTGAGAGAGTCTCTGAAAACGCCCAGACGGGTGAGTGTTTATTCATACCGGTTTTGTGGTATTCGGAAGTATTATGGTATTCCGAGGAGACAGAAGTGATGTTGGAAAATATGCACATGTGTTGGTGGCAATATGGAAAATCTGGGGAAATTTTGGGAAATTATCATTGATTTCTGTACGATTTCTAGCCGGATGCTGTAATTGGTGAGGGAAGTCTCAAGTTCGGCTGAGGAAAGCGAAAATGTATTTCAAGACTGGGTGGAAATATTGATGAATAGACACATTAATACATCTTGGTATGTCAAAGTGAAGGATTCAGAATTTAAACGATTTCTAGTATCAGTATTATGAGTGTATTCGATGATTGAATTTTCAGTATTGATGTATGTATTATTCTCCACAGGAAGTTTTGTGGCGCGCGGTCCTTAGGCGCACTTAGTTACTCGAGTTATAGTTACTAAAACACGGAGGGGCGATATATGGGTATAATGGTATTAAGTACAATATAGATATTAGTGATGTCACTAATAAAAATATAAAAATTTCTCTCTATCACGAATAAAAATAACATAACAAATGAAATTTTTATTAGTATAATATGAATAAAAATAGTATATAAACATCTCCATGGTAAACCATAAATTGATAATAGATAAAAATGCATAAACTTATATAAATATTATATTTGTATTTATTCAGTTGAATCGTGCGAAGTGGCCCTTTTCGTTGAGTTTATCCATCATGTTGTATTGAGTTTCTTCGAATTAGGAATAATTTCTCGTGAGCTATTGTTATTAATTTGATTGAATAATATGGAATATATTCTAGAATTCATATAACAAATAGATTGTCTCGCCCCTTGCTTCATAAATGTCTCCATTTTTCATATAGGGGGCGGTGGTCCACTTGCCTTGACGAAGTATTTTCTTGTCAGGTCAGTGAAGTAGTCTTTGTTTTGGTATCGAACGAGTATAATATAAACGAAGAGCTTTGGCTAAATTTAGTGAGTTATTACTCGGAGGTGGGTTGAGACCAGCGTTTTTGGCTGTGTTATTTTTTCACAGATGCGCGATAAACGGGGAAATTATGGAGGGATTCAGTTGAGCTCTTTGGTGGACATGGCGTGGAGTATGTGTGCTTGTCAAGCTGCTCAATCAGGTGACGCAGGTTCTATCCCTGGGAGTTGCTTTTTTCTGGATATAGTGAGATATAATGTAGCTTGGTTTGAACAGTACATCACATTTGAGCGTTTTATCAACCAGGGACTTGTATTAGAAATCAACTTGATATTTACGGATGAATCTGCTCATACGATTACTGCTAGTCTACGTATGTTTCCTCGCTGTGTTTTCCTATTGCAGGATTTCTTATATTAGGTTATTATTCTATCCTGTTATTACTCGTTCATTTTATTCCGTATTAGATTTATACCAAATTAAGAAATAAAGAATATTAAATAGCTTTCCAATAACATGTTCAATACAGTTTTGTCTTTTTCATATCGTATGTTAGAGTATAACAGGAATCGCAATCGCAGGAGCAGATTATCCGATTCCATGCGGCGTTCGTTGATGTTACTGAAGTTAGTGGTACAAAATAATGTTATTTTCTGGTAGCATGTAGAGCGTATACGCGCTGTTGTGCTAGTATTTTTTTATCATTGGGTTTGTGATGCTAAAAAATGCTAATTGGGGTTGACCGTAATGCCGTACTGTAACGTATTACACGGTTTCGCCATGCCCCGTATTCCTACCGTACCGTAGTGAATCTCTATGTTATGCTCAGATTTGCTGCAAGATATCGCCGGAGAGATTTATGGATGTCAACCTCCCAGGAACAGGGACATACTGGCAAAAATGATCGAAGTAGGTTATTCAATGAGTTTTGGTAAGGAGGTGTCGCAAACGAGGGAAGCAAGGGCGACAAGCAGGCCCATACGCAAAAATGTGGTTGCGTTGACATAACACTCCTGATCTCAATAAGGATTAGCGCAATTCGTGGTATAGATATCAATAGAAATAACACAAGCGTAACTGAATTCAGATCGCCACAGTTGGTTGTTGATTCTGGTGTGATAGGTTGATAGGGCTCTTGTTCTGGAGGGGAAGGGTGTTGAGGCTCCAGAGGCGTGGCAGTTGGCATTCGCAGAAGCACAGAGAATGGAAATTGAAAGGTGAGTAATGTATGCCTTGCCTTGGGATCGAACCTGTGCGGGATTGGTAGTAGAGGGTTTGCAGTGTGTCTCTGGTTCAGAAGTGAGAAGTCTCGACTGCATTTCGAGGTGCTTGATGCTTTGGAAGCTCTTAAGGGCGCCCGTGGGCTCGACGTTCGATTGAATATTGTGAGGAACAAGAAAATCGGTGGGAAAATGGGTTTTGGTGCGATAAGTGAATTAGTGATTGTATTTAGGGGGATATGTTGTTGACTTCTTTGATGAGGAAACGAAGTTGGTGATTGAAATTGATACTCTAAAGAAGCCGACTCCCTTGTAAGATGCTTCCACCGGGGATCGATCTTGGAACCTAGGGCATGGTGGAGGCGATTCGTACCACTTCACTACAGAAGCTTGCCTAGAATTTGTCACATGCTCATAGTATGTCTGGACGAAGGCTTTTTCGCTTAGGTTTATGAAACACCGGCATTTGAGACAACATCATAACTGCAAGAGTATTGCCATCGAATATTGGTATGTATATTTTCCTATCAATGCCAACTGCTCTTCTTGGTTTTCAGGACATGGAGGAGGAGGAATAGAGCACCTGAAGATGAGTGCATATTCTTACGCACTCTGGTGAAGGAAGCTTTGTTGCAGCAGTAACAGCAGCCTGAGAACGGTTGAACAACAAACATGATTTCCGCAATGTGTTTCTGATGTGATTGTTGTTGTGCATTGCGTATATTCACAAATCTGAGGGTAGAAGGAAATTTGAGAATTTAGTAATTAATGTCTGCAGTTCAAGCAACGTTCGGTTTGAGGATATTAGAGGGTGCCTCGATCGTTTCGATGAAAAAGTGCCCGCTAAGTAGTTGCCTAGTATGAAGGATGCTATCGAAACTCCTCAGGCGTTTATGGAATTGCTGCTCAGCCAGGTAGTGTGAAAAGCTATGGTCCGAGCTAGGGAACTGTGAAGATTTTTTGAAGAAAATTTTTACACAGCACCAGGGCTTTTCCTCTGTGCTTTTTACCTCTCAGCGTTGCGGCAAGCGCTCAGATCCACATATCCATTTTCATGCGCAGAGCCCTTTATGCAATAGTATTGCAGCAATAAGTATTTCACGTCGATTGAGGGTGGAAACGGTGTTAATGATATTAATTATATGAATACGCTCGCACATCGCGTATCATATGACTATGGCACTGAAATAGTTTCATGTTATTTCTTGTGTTCTCTCCAGGGTTACTCACATTGTATTCGAGGTTGTCGACATGCAGGTTCTCAACCTTGTGCGATTCAGTTCAAGACCAGGGTGTCCTGGCGAATATTAACCAAATGGTCTCTGTCAGTTGTCGATCCCAGCAGTCCGATACCTCTGCGTGCAGTAGCTGGAGGCTAGCGAGCATGAGGGACATGTCGCCCATTCGGGGACAGCCGGACATTGTAAGGGTCGGGCACGTATTGGCTTTTCTGGAAGATTATAAAATCGGTACTTAGAAAGTTGTATAATTTTTCTGGCCTGGGGTATGTTTCGAAGGCCTTGGACCCTTGGTTCAACTACATCGATATTGCTCGGTGTGATGACGAGAGTCTCAGAGATGCTGATGACACTGCATCAGAACCGCCTGGTGTTAAGGCTGCATATCATACGGTCTTAATCTTGCGATGGTCTGCTCATCGTGGACCGGAAAAAGGCAATGACATTACGAAGGGATGAATTGCAGCAGATTTTTTTGCAATTCAGTATTATCGTACTCTATAGGACTTTCATGCTTGTAACTTGCACTGCGTGATTCTGAGTTCGGTTTTCCCTCACTATGACCACTTCGCAGGCCGATGGTTTATTCAGTTCCAGTGCATAACGGGAAAATGCACGTCAGCTCAGCTGACTCGGCCGTTGATCATGAACAACGTCGAATCCTGGCGAACACATTGGCCTTGATCACATGTAGCCATACATTCATTGGCATTGGAGTGATAATCGCTTGTTGCTCCAACAGTTGGAGTCCAACTTCTAGTGTTCCGGCCGCCTTACACCCAATTACCGGGTGAAGTGACTTCACTGAAGTCTCGTATTGCTGGATAGACGTTTCTATTTCTGAATAGTCGATGATAGTATAGACAACGCAACGAGCTGAGCTGACCTACTACTCTGCTTGTCATCGCCGCCATGCTCTGGGCTCTGGCTATCATGATTAGTAGTACCACTGATATTACTTCCTCAGTCCAAGTGAAGTCCTTGCTAAATTAGATAATCTCTCTTGCTCTGTTATTGCTAGTTTCAGCCGGTACAACATCCTCGTCAACGGTTCTTCACTAACATTATATCTTCTTTTACTAGTTGACGTAATACAAGGCAAATGTTGGAGTTTGAATCGCGATCGATAGTTTCAAGGAAGCGACAGACTCTATCATCAGCTTGAATCCCCGAAACGAGACTCGCTGGAACGCCACCTTGATGATGCTCCAAACCATGCTGAAGTCTTGGGACGGCATGACATACATTCTGGCCAAGAGGGATCAGGGCTAGATCGGATCGTTGTCTTGAAGCGAAGCTAATGGAGGTGAACTAATCCGGCACGAGCTTTGCAAATAAGGGCGTGAATGCTCTCATGAGAGGCTTATCAGCAACCTGAACAGTTCGGGATACCAAGCCGACATTACGTGACATCGTGAAGATGGCACAGGAGTCCCGTGACGGGACAGCAGAGAGTCGGCAGTCGACCCCTCGTACTTCCTTCACGTAATCCTGTTTAGTTTCTGAGGAACGATATAGCCTAGCTTCCTATGTTCCCCGTACGTGTGTTTTGGTTGTCCCATCAATGGTTCCCATCTCTAGGAATCCCGAATCAGGAGCCTAAGGATGGAGAGTTTCGATCGAATATTTCAAGACTGGTTCATAACTCTGTTCCACATGGACTCGAATCTGATCGGGCTTCATATGGATCGACTATGTATTACGAGTCATTTCCAACATAGCCGACCGCCGTGTACTCCAAAATCCGAGTTGTGTCTCGAACTCGCCGTGGTACTTGTTAATGATACCGAACTCACAGCGGCCGTCTTGGCTTATGACTCACTGTTGACTTCTTCCTGCTTAGGTCGCCTCCTAGCCCTCGGTCGTCTTCACGGCGGAGATCGGATAGACATCACCATCATCATCACAGTCAGCGGAGTCGCAGCGAATTAGGGTATATTGTAGTTTCTTCATCAGAATTCATGCTACATACACCAATTGGTTATCATGAAGTGGTAGATGTTTCTTCTACCGTCGCTCTATATGTATATGTAGACATATCAAACCCTTCGAATCGTGGAGGGCCAGTATCATTTCTGAAAGATGTGCATGCGTGCTATGCTGATCCTCCTTTTGATTTGAACGCACTCGGAGAGAAGTATAGTTGCGACCTACGGCGGATTCGGAAGAAAGCTTTGGTAAGCCGTATCGTCATCGTTTAATGAGATCATCTAGCAAGGAGTGTTTAGATATCATTCAACGAATAAGTATATTCATAATCAACATAAGCATCGTACAGTGAGAAAAAACCGACAAGTTGACTGCTTGCATGAGCAGTTCATGAGCCGGATGATCACTCCTGTCGTATCAGCAGTGCTGAAATATATGTTCGCGTTCCTCAACTGAGTTCAGAAGTTTCCTCAGAAATTGTAGGAGTTCACGGGTAGAAGTGTACAGAAACTAGTGAGAATTTCCCAAAATTTTTTCAGAAATTTCATGTTGTCATCACCAACACATGTAGTTGACCATGTATGTACTTCTCATACTTCATATTGGTGTTAGGTTATGGTTATGGGCAACCACTCCTCCGGCAAATCTACCTTCATCAACTGGTTCGTTGATGCCCCTATACAGAAGGTCGGCGCTGCATTGGAGACCACCGGCTTCACTATAGTCACTGCAGGCAGCCAAACTGGACGTGAACTCAATGGCGAATCCACCATGTTGCTCTACCCCCATCTAAAGTCCCTCATTGACCGCGATCCGAGGATGCTATCCCATCTTGTCACTAAAACTGTTCTGCCCAGCGAATCGGTGGCCCCTTTCCTATCAATGCTGGACATATAGACACTCCTGGCCTCGCTGATGGCGGACTGGAGTACCCGTATGATGTGTTGCTGCAATTGAGTTCTTTGGTAAGGAGGCTGACTTGATTCTGGTCTTCTTGGACCCACTTGGACAAGCTCTTTGCAATTTAACATGTGAAGTGGTCTGTGGTCTCTTCAAGAAGTATCCGTCTAAGATGAGGTTTTGTTTGACGAAGGTCGACACGGTTCCAACAGATGACGATCTTCTCAAAGTGTCGAATCAAGTGACGCAATCGTTGACGTCTCGACTGGGCGTTATACATGCATTCGACTTGTTGCCGATCTTCATAGGGGAAGCTAAAACCTCCCGAGTGAACAGATTGGAAGAAGTGTCTCTTGCTGTTAAGCAATGTGTAGAATGGCGTGTCCAAGCCTCTCTCAGTGTATTACAGTCAGACTGCGTTCTGGTCGAGGCGGCTATACGTTCGCGACTTGAGCAGGACGATATTGCTGGGAAGAAGAATAGAAAATTGTCCGATAAAGTGAACAGGCTGTATAGAGGAGCTGTCATAGTCTCGTCAGTGACAGCGTTAGTCTTCGCTCTAGCCATGCCTGGTAGTCATCCAGGATACTCTCTGGTGCCTCGAAGTGTCCTATTGGATGGTGTCTGTGCTGGTATGCTCCTCATGAGCCTCGTCTTGGCTATCATTGCCTCGCTCCTGTGGAGACGCTTCCAAGTATCGAATCTGTCTGTTAGAGGGAGGGCGGAGGTTGAGGAGGAGCTGAGGAGAGTGAGCGAAGATATCCCACGAAGACAAAGAGAACTGCACGTGCAGTATCTTGCTTCTGTCGGATCTTAGTCGTCGTTGTACCATTGCTGCTGTGAACACATGATTTAATCTCCATATCAAATTCGTAGCACTAACACTGGAGCTGTCGAGTAATCTAGTCTCTGGGGGGATCGATTGGAGTCATCATCAACAACAAGAACTTGTGTAGTCTTATCATCAAGAACCTGATAAGGTAGAGACAAATCCGATTAGCACAAGTGGCCGGCCGAGTTGCCTGGAAAATCTACCTGGTGTCTACACTCAGGAAAACAGAATGAACTCACAGTGTGAATTCCACACTTATTATAGACTCGAATCATATGGCATGTCGCGTCGTCCCGGATCATGCGTGATGATCCGTCTCTCGCCATGATGAGAGTCTCATTCTCCATCTCTAACAACCAGCTCAGAATATGTTACTATTATGGACGGAATTCATACTCCCCGAATTGAAGAGTCGGATGAAACTGTCCCTTGATTCTATTTTTCCATCCAAGTTCGGAATGTACCTTTTCCGAGTACTCGGACTCAAGAAAAATGAGCCCTTGAACGGACTCCTGCTGTTGATCAACTTTGCTGATATTGGATGTCGCATCTGCCCAGAATCACCGCTCGAAACTTCCCCACTTCCAGGCGCAACGGATTTCCCATATGGGTATCTCCGCTACAGCTGTCTCGTTAGCTCCAGATTGTCTCTATGGTACACCATGTAAACCTCCTAGTAGCAGTGTTATTGCCGTGGTTTGCAGTCGCTGGGAGAAGCCGGGGACTGTTGAGATGTTTGAATTGTTTCCAGCCTGAGCAGGACACCGCGGTCCCTAGCAAAAATGCCTCATTTCTCGAATACAGGCCGTTACTGCCTTCTGACAAGTGGAAAAAATCGAAGAAATTACCTGGGGCTGCTTACTTCGTAGCGGTTGACTCAGAAGCGAGAAAAGGCAAGGTGGGAATCAATGACACTCGCCGTTATCGCTCATTATGATGTTCATACAGAATGTCGTTGCGTATTTGGCATATGGCGACGTTAGTTGTCAAAGACGCTCAAGATGGGTATATATCGATGATGTGTATGTCGAGGAGAGATGGAGAAGGAGGGGAGTTGCAACGCGAATGATCACACGCTTTCTCGGATACGTAACTCCTATCATGGTCCTTCTCATCAACACATTACCCTTGTTCAGCTCAAACTGGGGTGGCCCAATGTCCGTGGCGCATTGCTAGGAGTCGACTATACGAATTCCCATGCAGCGGATCTCTATCAGAAAATTGGTTTTGTCTACAAAGGTAAGATGTCCACAAACTAAAGAGATTCTTGTTGGTAGTTGAAGTTGGCTCCTCTCAGGTACGACGGTGTAATACAATCCGGCAATCGCAACTTTTTGCCAATATTGCGGGTTTGCCAAATGCTATAATTCCTGACAGTCTCACTTTTTTGCTCTTTTGTATGTGCTGCTTTCTCAGTTACAAAGTAGCAACCACATTTACAACCTAGCAATTTCTGGTATAGGTTTTAGCAACCAAATGTTGAAACTAGCAAATTCGAAAGTGTTTTCCAGCAAGTCGCCCTTTTTTGCTCTTTTTTTGCTGCATTGTATATTACCCCGGAATGTTTTACACCCTGGCACTTTTGCCCAAATGTGCTTCGCCCGCACATTTTCGTTATTCTGGCAAGTTGTGCTCATTTGCTGTTTAATATGTTTCGCGTTGTAATAATATAATCTGGCACCTTTTAAGGTTTGCTCTTGTGTGATGTTCCTGCATGAAATATACAAATTGGCAGTTGTCGGTATGTGACAATGCTGCGCTACTTTTATGTTTTGGCTATTTGCTCTCTTGTAACTTACGCCCTGCGGGAATATATACTAGCGTTTTGCTCACTCGCTCAAACTGCGTCTCTGTTAGCGTTATTAGCAAACTTGTCATTTTGCATTATTCGTACGAGCAATATACAATCGAGCAAACATAGTTATGGGATAGCGTTTCTCGTTCGATTACGGTATTACGCCTTATATCTTACGCTCCAGAACATGTTCATGCCCTGTGCACTTACTAAGTATCTTATCTATCAAAGGTGTCACACTTTGTGTCTCACTTCAAGTGAGTCACTTAGTATCGGGTCAAAGCGTGATAGCACTCTAGTGAGATATATCATTCACTCCGAAGACAGCGCGAGTGATGATCAATGCTGAATACCAAACACATGATTGCTCTTGCATGTCGCGATTGAATCAGATGAGATAACAGTTAAAGTGAGTCCCATCTTCGAGTATCCTCTCTCTTTTAGCATCGTATCAGTTGTGTCTCATGGTTTGGTACGATTGTACGTATTGACGACTCAACAATACCCAGAAGTTAAACCCTAAAGTAGGCATTACGTAAGTATTACGGGCAACTTTGACATTCTACACGAGAAACATTCACTCATGGGCAGTGGCACTCATCGGATCGTCTTCGTGGAGCTATTGGTATGGACTTCGCAGAGATGCCGAAGGATTGTACAGGGGAAACGCAACACGGACTAAATTACTGATTATGAACTCTACAGCCCTCCGCACACAATATTCACTCCCGGGCACCACTAGAGGGCCTTCATAGAGATACTATTAAGGGCTACAAGAGAAGCATATTGAGAAACGTCCAAATTTTGCTCTACCAATCACCGAGACAGCTACTTGTAGCAACTACAACAGCTGGGCACCACTGACTCAGTGGCACGGAGGTGCCTACCTTACTGCGAGTGCGTACATGGTCGCCAGTCTCCAGTGATGGGAGAAACTACTTCGATTCCTCACGCTCGTCCTCTTTCGACCGCTTCTGCTGCAATTCTTTTGCCGCGTGGCTCTCATACTCCTCCACCAATGAAATAGCATTGTTGTTAGGCGAGTACTTTCGCATTATCTCCTCACATCTGGTACCTCGGGAGAACTTGTTCAGCACCGGGTAGATGCGGAGTGCTAACTTAGCACTGCTAAGCCAGCCTGCCTCTTTCCTCGATAGTCTCGTTCGCGAGGGGCATCTTTCTGCAATGACCAGTATTTGCTCAGACTACGGAAGAGCATAATAGGCCATGTAAGGATCAGGATGCGTGTATGAAAGTCACGACATCTCGCATGGGCACCACTGGGGTGCCTGCAATACAGCACTGCACTGCAGATGAGTGATCCGTGTTGATCCAAATAAGTGATCTCGGATCACTCAGTACGAGTGATTCCGCCCAATACGAACTACCATCTAAACACAAATCCGCTCCCTCGTCCTTCTGTGACCATGTGCGGATTGCAATGATGTGGAAAATATGAAAATCCAACGAACCCTTAACGAATCTAAGTCTTTACTAACGACCTACTACCACTTACAATAGTCCATCCATCATCCTCCCAGTGCTGCAACTATACTTATCTATATCGACAGAACCAAAGAACTTTGCGAAATAGTCACCACTCAGAGACTTCGGAACTATAATGCAATGCTCAACACAATCACCAACAACCCACCAAGGTTCGACTCTCGCGTGCGAAATTTCAATTTCTTCTTCCGATTATAAAACAGCAAAAATTTGCTCCATTGCGGGGTTGCCCATTCGTAAAGCGGCAAATTGCTCCTCTGAAAAGTAGCAATTTGCTCAATAGCAGAAGGGGCAATTCATTGGTTTGCCCCTTTTTTGAGCAATATTGCTCAATTTTGTTACATAGTAGCACTTCACATAGCAGCAACTTTTGTATATTGTAGCAAATTTCTGAAATATAAACAAGCAAACGATATTCATTCGAGCAGTTTCTGTTATACAAAACAGCAAATTTGCGTATTTGTAAAGTGAATTTTGCTACTTTGCTCCTTTGTATATCAGCCATAGCGTTTTTACACACTAGCACAACAGCAAAAGCCGCAGAAAATATACATTCCAGCTAATTGGCACTTTTTTGCTATTTGCTCCTTTGCTATTTTGTAAATGAGCCAGGTACGACGCGTGGTTGGGAGTGCTATGCTTTCAATATGAGCGGATCGGCTGCTGCTGCTGCTGCTGTTGCGAATCTAACCACTGACTTACCGCCATTCGAGATGGAGCTGCCCAGCCTGAAGTCTTTGATGACGGATCCATATTATACAGACTTGTTCAGACTCGGCATTAACTGAACGATTGACTCTTAGCGAGTTGTTCTTCCATGTGCTCTGCCATGATGATCATGTTTGTGTCAAAGACGAGATACTCGTTTGTGTTGTCTATGCGAGTGAATGGCGATTGATTACCTTTGTAAGCCTTGGTTGCGTATACGTGACGTGATGAAAGCGGCGACTCGCGTTGTACCAACCGACCCTTAACAATGTTAAGTTAACGTTGTAGGCTTACCAGTAGTCGTTCTGTTCTTCCATTGGAGTCTTTGAGGAAAGTGTTATGGTAGTATCATTATCATTTTGGTGCTTTTCCGTCCATGCCTGGTGTTGCGCCGTGTGAACAAGGAACACAACAGTATCAACAACAAGGGACATCAGATGGACTGTTACAATTTGCTAGCCTAGCCGTGCTGTTCCCATCACGAGTAAGGACGGTTTTGGTAGTTTTATTCATAACTTTTGGAGGGAATAAAATGGCAACTTGGACGAATGAGTTCGGAGATGAGTACGCCACTCATTCGGCTGTCTTTGCCAAGGGTGAGTTTGATTCCTCCCATCGTGTATTGTTGTTGTTGAGTCCTTCATGGTAGATGCTGATGCCGAGCATATGGAGATCCTTGGCGTTCCTGTTAGAAACATTTTAATGCCAGCAATTGAGGCAGCACTGAAGGACATGGGGGGAAAGAAGTTAAATGAGGTTAAGGTGAGCTCCATTTCGATAATATATTACGACACGTTTCCGAGCAGCAACTTGTTTGTCAAGTGTTGGTGGAATATATGTTTGCTTTCCTCAGCTCAGCATATCCCGAATTCTGGTAGAAATGTGCATCAATAGGAGGAAATTTTCCCAATTTTTTCCAGAATTTTCATCAATTTTAATCTCAACATATGTGGTTGATGACCATGTAGTATATTCCCTCCCTCACCGTGTTCGTTTGCAGATACTCGAGATTGGCTGTGGTGCAGGTAGCGTTCTTGACGCTCTTAAAGTCGAGGGAGCTAACCCAGACTTTTTATATGGTGTTGATCTCAATGCGAAGAGTGTTCAACTTGCCAATGAAAACCATAGTTTTAATGTAAGCCATCATTCATGGGTCCGCTTAGACGTTGAATTTTCGCGGAAGTAAACTGTGATGAACGACGCTCTTGTACAGTGGTGGAGTAGGAATATGTTCCCTTCCTTTTCCTCACTAATTATACAAGTTCGGAAAGGACTCCTTTCCAAAGGAGTATTCAGAAACCAACAACAATTTCCATAAATTTTCCCATAGAGTTTTCACATGTAGTTGATGACCATGTGCATATTGCATCCGTGTCTTCTTGTGCCTTCGCCCTACGAGGATCTAATCAAAGTTTCCTCTACTTGGAACTGGCATCGTTTTCTTTCCTAGGTTCAACAAATTAAAGGTTATGACTATTCCCTCCGTGGAGACCCTGCTCTCGATATCATCTTCACGGAACAGTGTTTGAACCTTCTCCCCCCAGCTCAGTACGATGAGTTCTTCCAAAAAATTCGGCAGCTGAAACCGAAATACTTCATATTCCACGAGGGAATCAATCCCAGTGGCTTTGAGGCGACGACGCACGGTCCGTGGACTGTGTATATGAATGATTTTCTCACATTGTGCACTCATCAATTTGGCAAGCCGCTGTACACCGAAGATTTCGTGGCGAAGGAGCCCGAGATGTTTGCTCCCGCGACCCATGATACTACTGCCCTATTTAAACTTTGAAAGTAGTAGTCGTTTTTTATTATTTCCTAGTTTCATCATCAGTCTACCATGAGGCACTTACGGTTTCGAGTTGATATATTCAATATACAGGGATTAGTGGATGCATCTAGTAGTTGAGGTGTATCGTGGCTACCAGGGGATTTCAATTGTGTTCCTTCATCGAGCAGCGGCCTTTTGAATTTAAAAAATGTAGGGAGTTTGGTATGTGCTTTTGGTATTGTCGAGGTATGAGTTGTAGTAGAATTGAATCCAGAGGAGTAGAGGTGTATACAAAACGTCAATGTGAGCCTTCTGTAAGTGGAAAAGATTATGCTCAGACTCATATCGTGTATCGCGTGTATCGATAACCACGACAATATTAGCGCGCGTCCGATAATTGAGCTACATATGGTGTTTTAGTTCATCGTTCACAGTCTTGGTCCGTATGAAATGATGATATTTGACAGTTGGCCGCGGTTCCGACGAGGTGGTATGTGCACTGTGGTGACACGAGAGGTTACAGCTATCATTCCGATCGGGTATCGACTACGAGGGTAGCACTCCCCAATGATTGCGGCTCTTAAATGAGCTCTAATCCTCAAAAGTTCTCGACTCGAGTTGTGGTCAGCTCCCACATGCGCATGAACTACTGTCCGAGTGCCTACTGGAACACCAAGCTAGTCCTTGAGTGCTATTTGATTCATTCATGTCGAGTACGGAAATTCCAAGTACATTGCCGCTCGAAGTAACGTCTTTTTCCGAGCGCACTGTGGATTCCGAATGAATTCTCGTGCTTTGGATGGCTCCACCTCATCACGTACTAGTTTTTGTAAGACGATGCGAAGCTACATATCCTATATGCTCTTCGTGAGACTCCTTCAATGGGTCCTTACCACAAACGGCCCGGTATTGGCGTCCATCAGCCCCGACTCCGCCAACCTCGATTATCGATGTGCACTCCCAAGTGATGTTATCCCCAGACCTGAACGGTTAACTGATGACTCCGCTGATTTCGTTGCAGTAGATCCTCTGGACAAGCAGGGCGAGGTGAGATGTGGTGGAGGATCATGACTGAAGCTTGAATGAGTATTTTTCCACCAGAAGAGCCATGTGTATTTCAGATCGTGGTCGCTAATGTCGAGTATGCTACTATAGCCAAATCTGGTTACGGAAAGTGGGTGTACATTGACGGTGTAGAAGTGAGGAAAGACTGGCAGAGGAAGGGAGTGGCGACAAAATTGTTGACAAAACTATTCGCATATGTAATCTAAACTCTGCATACATTTTGAGGTTCCTGTGTGACCGACCTCCTCTTTGGCAGATCAAGACGGGGTGGCCTGAAATCATCGGGGTGTTTCTACTAGTGGATCCCTCGAATGTCGGTGCCAAGATTCTCTACGAGAGATTGGGTTTCCTTCCCCACGGTGGGAGAATATTTCCGCGCGAACTCCGAGTTTTTTTCAGGGAAATCGGCGCATGATGAAGGCAAATACATCGTATACGAGGGATATGTTTACGACTTTTATTCTCCTCCTGCTGCCAATTTACCACACATTAGCCCTCCGAAACAGATGCCGATGCCTTCTACACCTGATCCCTTCGTTGTGAAAACTTTTGACGACCTTTTCGGCCACAAGACTGAATGAGCTCCTTCTCGCCCATTCTATCATTGCTCGAATTCTGATGTATTGTCATGGGCTGAGTTCTCCTTTTGTTGAGTTCGGACAGTTTCCGACGTCCCATCACGAAGCGCTATGTCGGCAATGTGGACCACTAGGTCCCAGGGGGGCCTTTCCCCACAACAAATTTCATCCATACAGATTAAGGACGTCTTTGGAATTGGAAGTCGAATGCCCTCGAGAGAATCAAAGGGGAAATATTCATCAAGTGGAAATATTGGAGAACCCCGATGGGACTCCAGTTCTTAATCCTTAACGGATGAAGACTTCATTTACTTCCGGGTTCGAATAGGTTGTCGGTTGGGAATCGTCATGAGTTGGCTATTAACGCAACAAACGTAAATAGAAAATGTCATTCAAAGAAATACTTGATTATTCTTACGAATGCTTGCAAGCACTGATTTACGTAAAGCCGATATGAGATTAGTAGTGATGTCGAGTAGACTCATTTCAACGTCTTCCAGAAACATCCGGAGAACTCTCTCAGCAAACTCAAGAACATACATGCCACAATCGCTGCAGTTGGTCTGTTTGCTGCACTCACCAACAGTGGTCTGAATATCACCAACACCAGTGAGTTTCCTACCAACAGAATTCACCCACCCTGGCATCTCTCGCCCAGGAGCCGAGTCGTAGTACACACCCGCCCAGGGCTTCGATGGAGCGGTACGAGATAGAACTAATAGAGACCAGTGCGAACCCCCACACGGTAACGTCGGGTCATCGCTGTCGTTAATTGGGACAATAAGGCACCGCCTCTGTGCAAGTTTGAGACCATCAATGAGTTGGGCTAAGTCGTCTTCGTCCTCTTCGAATCGGATGGCGAAAGCAGTGCACGGGTCAAGCAACAAGACTTGGTCCCATCCGGAATGTTTGCTATACTTCTCATTTAAGATCACATCGAAATAGTAGAGAATACACATATCATTTAGCCATCGACCTTCATAAAACAGTATAGCATCCGACTGAAGGAGCCTTCCAGTTGACCAAGACACTATAGAGGTCTTCACCATTTCTAAGAGCACTGCTAAAAATGTTCACCTTCAAATAGGGTCATCACTGCAAAAATGGAGAACCCTTCTTGTCACGTTGAATAACACAAAATTCTAATTTCGACTGAATTGGAAAATACTAAACAAAGATTAGAAGACTTCTGTCGCTATCAGTGTTGGAGTAGGAATATCTGTTTGCTTTCATCAGCTGAGCTCAGGAATTCCCAAAGCTAATTCGGGTAGAAATGTACAAACACCAACAAGTAATTCTCACACAACTAGTGTGTAATTCCTAGTAGTAAATCAAAAACAAGTAGTAATTCCTCAAACACATGTAGCTGACCATGTTCGGCTTTTCTACACTCTGCACTAGCCGTTGACGAGTGAATTATCACTCATCACATGATAGGAACCTCGCGCTACGAGCTCCAGGGCCGTTACAGTTCAATTGGAGCCCCCATACGCTGCACCAATGCTGGGTGCATATCATTGCTATGTTAAGGTTGAATCTATGATCTCCCTCAAAAGTCTATTCTGAATTTGTTATACTTCAGTTGTTGCATTTCTGCTGATCACAAAAGAGACTTCATTCGTCTGCTTCTGACAGTCAACAACTTAACACCAAGTATGACGTGTATGCACTCCGCGATATCGCGTAGAGGCGCAGCGGCCTCACACGTATACTCGAGTATATGCACATGGTCAACTACATATGTGGAACATCAACTCAACACGAAAGATATCCGTATTATGTGGGAGGAGGGTAGCTTAGGATAGACTAACAGAAGAATCACAGCTTAGCTCAGTAGTGGGACGGCTGAATAATGGGACAGCCAATTGTGTTGAATACCGCATATGTTGCTGAAAATATGGAAATTCTCGGAGGAAATTTCGGCAAATTATCGTTTACACTTCTACCCAAAACGGTGTGGATTTTCATAACAAAGGTGAAAAACCTTACGAGCTCAGTTCAGGAAGTATAGATTCTCACACTCCTTCGGTGCCACATGTGTTGCCTTATATACTCACAAAGGAAGCTACTGTTGCAGCATATGTGAACTTCTCTCAGCTGAACTCAGTAGTTTCCTCACTATGCTATGAAAATTTACACATGAATTCACGCAAAAATTCCTCGGTATTTCGATATGGTAATCACCAAAACATGTAGTTGACCATGTGCATATCCCCCCCCCACACTGCTGTTTGTGCCGGCTAGCCCTATTCCATCTACCCTAATTCCACAGTTGATTTCACTAACGCAAAGCAGATAGCAATCTACAACACTGGAGACCGTTATCAACAACAACAACAGAAATGAAACCACGGTCGTACAAAATCCTCAAACTCGGACGATTCCACTATAGGTAAATCACTGAAGCTGAGAATAGCTTTCGGGTGAACTCCCAATAACTCCAGCTCCTTTCGGTTTGCGTACATGCTCTTCGAAAGTGCTCACATACGCATTAGCTTCGCCCTCAATTCTCACCTAGAAAATTAAAGATATCATTTCCGACGTCAATTCACAGATTCGCATACTTGAGATATTCCTCTAAATTCAAGAATATTTGAAATAGTTATTACGGAGCTCATATGTGCGTGCGTGCATGTCACTATTTCTGATTCAAAAAGTAAGGCGACTTCGACGACGACGAACGAAATTATTGCTCATTCTAAGAATATTGACATTCGACGATTTGGAGTTAGCACACCAGACAAAGAATTCGGCATTTCTACGAAAAAAACCTCTCTCTAGCTCAGTAGGTTAAGACTCCAACCCATCATCCATAACACCCAGGATCGAATCCCACACCCTATAAATCACATTCCTGCGTGTAGTATTATAATTCCACCGAGCTACATCGCATCGAAGACTTAGTCGCCATACCCAAGCCCGCTCACCGGTGCAGTGCGGACTTCGTTTGCATATTTTGTTTCGGGAGTGTCATCACGCGGGAGCAGCGGCTCAGTTGCATGCCTATGAATGCCACAAATCGATCATTTCAAAAATTATAATTTTCATAGTAGTATTCTCATCCGTGTTGGAATTTCAGCTGAGTTCAGGAGTTCCCAAAGCTACTAAAGAACGTTGACAAGCAATAAAAATTAAATTGATATTAGAATGCCACAGAGCACAGTGCCATTGAGTTTCACCTTAGTGATATGCAAAAACACACTAGTGAGAAAATATATTTCACGACTACTGCATATCACCGCGAATATCACGTGAAACAGGATAAACTCCAACAAACGAACTTCCTCAGATATCTTCAGATTTTTAATATTGTCACCAATGCACCTAGTCAACGACGCTGATGCCCATAGCTTTATAATTTTATAATACTCAAACTCATAAGCGTATCAGGGCGAGCGAGAACGCACACTCCCCCCTTACTCCTCCGTAGATAGTTCTACTCCTTTCTGAGTTATTGCACTTTCTGGTGTTTTCACTTTCGGAATAACAACAGCACTTGCCTTAACCACGGGAGTAGCCTCTAGTGTTGTCAAGGTAGAAGGTATCGAGAGCTTCGCCACCATATTTGGTATAGACTGTGTTAGCGCTTCGACACAACCTTCGTTTTGCGTTACTGTCGATGCGAAATATCGAGACAACTGAAATTAGTAGAAAATTCAATCAAACTTTGAGTGAAAATCTTTGTGAATTCACTTGGCCTGCGAAATGCTCGAGAAAATGCATATATATAATAATACTGCATTTTGATACTAATAGTAATATATACAACATAATATCAAAGTTTCACAACCCATTTTTCGTGAAGTGGCGTAATTTTCCACGTGAAAAAACGCGATACGAAGTAAATTAAAAACACCGTGAAATACACGACGGGTTCACGCGTTATTCACTGCTCACATGCGTTTTTTGCAAGTGAAATAAAAAAAACCAATGAACGCTGTATTATTTCCTACCGCTTCAACGATCTCCCCAACATCATTCTGCCTGTTGCCAAGAATATTTGTGATATCCTTTTTAACACTTCTATCAAGACGGTCACAGTTCTCCTGAGCTTCTCTAAACTTTACCAAATTCTGATCAAAAATCAATTCTATTTCGGGGGAAAAATCTGTACATGGCGGTCAACTACATATATTGGTGAAAATTCTGGGAGGAAATTTTGGAGGAAATTCTTATTTGTCTTTATACATTTTCACTCCAAGTCGTGCGTAAATTTCGGAGTGGGAAAATATTCACATGGTCATCAACTACATGTGTTGGTGATAATATGAAAATTCTGCGAAAATTCTGCGAAAATTCCGAAAAATTCTTGTTGATTTCTGTACACTTCTACCCCAACTCTTATAATTCTTGAGAAAACTCTTCCCCTCAGGTGAGTAAAGCAAACATATATTCCTCCAACACTGCATACTTACTCTATCTAGATTCTCCTTAGCCACCTCGGATTTGTTTCCATTTTCCACTTTTTCTTGATATTTTTTCTGCAGACCTGTGGTTTTCACTTCATAATGTGTCAATAGCGCGTGTGCTCGATCGCGGTCAGTCAGATCGGCCTGAAAACACACTTGTGAAAATAAATGAAGGTTCACCGGTGATATGAAAAACATTAGTGAAAAAAGTATTTTACGACTACTGCATATCACCGCGAATATCGCGCCTTTTTCACAGAGTATTACACCACTTCACGTAGAACGGGTAAAACTCCATTATGTGTATCAATTATTCATTGTGCGGTAAAATATATACATGGTCATCAACTACATGTGTTGGTGATGAAAATATGAGAATTTCTGGGAGGAAATTTAGGAGTTTCTTATTAGTTTCTGTACACTTCTACTTTTCTAAATTTTTATGTTTACTCTCTGAGCTGAGGTGAGGAGAGCAAACATATATTCCTACTCCAACACTTGAGCTTATTACTCTCAATGTTTTGATTCTGCTATCAAGTCGATCGATCTTAGTCTTCGCTTTTTCGATCGCACCAAGAGAATTTTCACCGCTGTGATTATACTGCGACATTTGTTGTGAGAACAACGCGAATGCCGGGGAAATTCCCTGAAAAAAATTGTCAAAAATTTTCACAAATTTTAGTGAAAAAACCAAACCTGTGCTGCAGTTGTGGATTCAGTAGCAGTAGAACTCTTCGGATCAGCCGCCTCTCGAACGAATCGTGCGATGTTGATGTATTTAGCATTCATTCTGTGTTGATCTGTGATTAAATGATCAACCTCTGAAGAAAGTTGCTGAGAAAAAAAATGTAAAATTTGGGCGAAAATTGCGGAAAAATTTACCAACAGTTTCGAGTTGTAGTCTATCAAATCTTTCCGGTCTGTTGTCAAGGGATCTTCGCTGAACTCCTTCACGCCGAACATCTGAAGTAAAACATACACAGTTGAGTTTCACCTCCCTAGTGATATGAAAAGCACTGGAGAAAAATATATTTCACGACTACTGCATATCGGGGTTTTCACAGAGTATTACGCCACTTCACGTAAAACGGGTTGTGAAACTCCAATATAAGTCTACGTTTTAACCACTCTAGTGATATGAAAAACACTAACATTTCTCTTTCCGAAAAACGCATGTGAGCAGTGAATAACGCGTAAAACACGTGGTATGTATTTCCCGTGATATAGGGTGATTCGCCAAGTGTTTTCAATTCACTCCATATCGCGTTTTTCACATGGAGTATTACGCCAATCCAGTACGATACACAGAAATATCATAGCACATGTTGTAATTTACAATGGAGTTTCACCCGTTTTACTGTGATAAAGAAAACACCGCGGATATTCGCGATACGACGTGAAATATGTTTTTCACTAGTGTTTTCCATAACAATGGAGTTTCACCTGCTTTACGTGAAGTGGCGTAAAACTCGGTAAAATTCGCGGCTATATGCAGTGGTCGTAAAATATGTTTTTCACTAGTGTTTATCATAACACTAGGGTGAAACTCTAATGGAACGTTATTAATAATTTTTATTAGATTTCATCAGTGAGGAATTCACAACTAATCGAAGCCGCTGTAGTTACCTTTTCCTTGAGGTTTCTGAAGGTCTTGTTGTCGAACCAGGAAGTCATTATGAGTATATAAACGCGAGAGTAATATAACAATACTAAAAACAAATACTATTCATCAGAGTTTCACGACCCTAGTGATATGAAAAAAACACTAGTGAAAAGCAATACTGCACGGCGTAAATGTCGCGTTTTTCACCGAGTTTTACGCCACTTCGCGTAAAACTCCAATAAACTGAGAACTCTCGTGAATGGCCACTTGCTGTACAGAACATGCACAACGAAAAGGAAAGATTTACCCATTCCACCGACAGAAACGATGATGCTCTGCTCGACTACCTATTCATAGTTTCTATGGGCGGGGATCTACAACAAAAACCAATAGCAATCACTCCTATGTATGTTTGTTCGAGTAGAAGAATTATATAGGAAAACGCGAATAAGGCTAGCACTACGTTAATAACAATTTTATTACACTGAAATATTATGTGCGCCGTGTTCAATAGACCTTCAAGAGCTCATCTAGGATTAGATATCACATGTAAACGCGGTCTTGGAACTCAGAAAAAGTCTACTGAACCTCACCCCAGTGCATTCCTACAAAAGTAATATAATTTCCTGGCGAGTGACGAAATCTCTGTGTGGAATCGTAGCGTGGCTAAACTCTTAATAGACCGATATTGAATTTGAGAAGCGTTTGTTGTTTCCCATTCCCAAAGGAGTCATCATGTCAGATAACACAACCAGGTAAGTGGCGAATCTTAATCATCGTCAATCCTACACATTTGGGCAAGCAGATTTATGCATAATAGTTTCATCAACAGTAAACTAAGTGAGAGTACTGTGGCGAGCGCCATTGATGCTCGCGATACACATATCCCAGTGTCCCTGAGCTTCAAGGATTGATAAAACAAGTAGAACCAGCTTATGGGAAGCTTTACTTATAGAAATTATCAAGTGAAGGTGGTAGAATAGCTAGGCTAGACGTCAGCTACCATTGTCATCAGAAATGTTTCCAGAAGCGCGTTCAAAGGAGCTTCTGAGCGATTCTGAGAGCGTTTCCAACAGTGTTAGGATGAGATAACTCAACAAGAGTTATTAACAAGTGGTTCATCACTTAGGATCAATACAGTAGTCATAAAGTATACGCTAGGCTAGCATGGGAGATAAGTATCACAAGAATCTAAAATTACAGGAGACGCTTGTGTACAACACTTCCTCACAAGCGGCATCCCACACAGCCTTGTATATTGAACAACGTGCGGTATGTTAAGTTTATTTATTGCGCGTTAGTCTTGATTGATATCTGAACTCTACTAGTACGTATATCGCTATGTTATTATTCACACTTCATCTCCTTTTCGAGTGTTATAAAGTTACAGGGTGAAACTAGTAAACATGAACTCATTAAGGAAGACTTAACGTTCCTCTTCTGCGCCACAAACTAGGACTATGGGCCTGGTGCACAAGGATACTTAATTTAAGGCGCCTTAAATTAAGGAGTTACTCAAGGTATAGGGCCTGTTTCATAGGAGCAAATTGCACCTTAAACGTAAGTAACGCTTCAAGTATACCTTGAGTAATTAGGACATCCTATTTCACTACTCAAGTAAGCACGTTAAGGCGCCTTAACTTTAGGAGTTACTCAAGGTATACTGAAGGCGTTGCTTAAGTTTAAGGAGCAATTTGCAATCCATCCAGAGAAAAGAGGTACGTTCCACCTAGTGATGACATTATGAATTATAAAGTATTATTATTTATATTTGCACCGAGTACACAGGTATTATACTGAGAGCACTGCCGTTGAACTCAATATGTAGGGGAGAGGATTGAAGCGGGTGCGTGACCACGCGTCGACTGAGAATGAGACAAGCGAATGCTGAAATGATTACAGACTGATACTCATGCACTAGGACTTGCATTAATCACTACACTAGTGAGAGAGATTTCTTCAGGGAGTTGGCAGTTATATCATAGTCTTAGAAATTCCAATAAGATGCTCTTGTAGGAATAGTAACCTCCCAATAATAGAACTCAATACACGACAAGTGAGCAGAGATAGCCTTGTACGAGAGCGGGCGTACAATAGAGTAGAACGTATCAGAATACGTTACGTTACAACTATGATTACGAACTACGTATGAGCTACTACTAGCTCTAGCTTTGCAGCACCTTAGCACGCAGGGACAATTGTATTCGGACCGAAAATTGGGGTACAAGGAAACAACGTGGCACAATGGTCTAGCCACTGGCACAACACTCAGTAGAGTTGCGCCGCCCATCACAGTATGCAACAGAAAGAGTTCATTCAGCGGTTCTTACTAGCCTTTCAAGTAACATGCGAATTTGATACTATGTGAATCTGAAAAATTTGCGTTTTCAATTCTAGGGTTAACGATAGTGAACAACTTGTCTCGAAATGTTACTCTTTCTTAGCAATGTTTACATTGTTTATGCGATATAGTCTCAGATCGATTTTTATTAATATCGCAAAATAACACACATTTTCATATACCAAATTCACATAAACTGTTTACAATGGAGTTTCACCCGTTTCACGCAAGGTGACGTAATACTTTGTGAAAAACGAGATATTTGCGGTGATATGAATATATTTTTCACTAGTTTTTTTCATATCACTAGGATAGTGAAACTCCAATAGAGT